GGGCTGCCCGAGCGCCGACAGACCGGCCCGGCGACGCGTGTCACGGCGGTACGCAGGGGCACCCTGCCCGCCCAACACAAATGCACCAGGGAGAACAGGAACCCTCTCTTGTATTTCAGGGACTTCATGATCGAGACAGCTACTTTCCAGCTCCAGCCGCGACTTCTGCCTGCTCATTGCTGCTTAAACGAGTTCGTACGAGAAATTTACCAAGTTTGAACAGCCGATTATTGCTGACAGGCTTCAGAGGACTTCACGCTGTGCGAGTTTTACGGGCTTACAGCTGACAGCTTGCTGGGGAGATGACTTCTCCATCTAAAACCATCTGGGGCTCTGCAGCAACTTCTTGGGTAGAGAGATAACTCCCAACTGAACCCAAGCCGTCTGCGTGTCGTGCGAGGGATCCCATCCTAACTTGCTATGGAGGATGATTTTTAAGATGAGTACCTACCTTGACGATAAATCCAATTCATCGATACCTGGATATCTGAAAGTGCCTGCACTAAGTAATGGCAATCTTTCTGCAAACAACTCCAATGAGACAGCAAGCAACCTGGATTCACCTGCCTTGGATATCAGTAGGGCGATAGTTGTGGGGTTTATCCTAGGTGCCTTCATACTCTTTGCTATTATAGGTAATATCTTGGTAATTCTCTCTGTTGCTTGCAATAGGCATTTAAGGATCCCTACAAACTATTTCATAATTAACCTTGCAATAGCAGATTTGTTGCTGAGTTTTACTGTCCTTCCGTTCTCTGCTACGCTGGAAATCCTTGGCTACTGGGTCTTGGGGAGGATATTCTGTGACATCTGGGCAGCAGTTGATGTGCTATGCTGTACAGCTTCTATTCTAAGCCTATGTGCAATTTCTATAGATCGATATATAGGGGTACGTTATTCTCTCCAGTATCCAACTTTGGTAACAAGAAGAAGGGCAATATTAGCTCTCCTTGGTGTCTGGGTCCTTTCCATGGTGATTTCTATTGGGCCTCTTTTGGGCTGGAAAGAACCAGCACCCAAAGACGATAAAGAGTGCCGTATCACTGAAGAACCATTCTATGCTTTGTTTTCATCCTTGGGGTCATTTTACATACCTTTAATCGTCATCCTTGTGATGTACTGTCGGGTCTACATCGTGGCAAAAAGGACTACTAAAAACCTGGAAGCTGGGGTTATGAAAGAAATGTCCAACTCCAAGGAGCTGACTTTACGGATTCATTACAGGAACATGCATGAGGACACATTAAACAGCACCAAACCCAAGGGTCACAATCCCAGGCATTCCTTAGCTTTCAAACTTTTTAAATTCTCTAGAGAAAAGAAGGCAGCCAAGACGCTGGGAATTGTGGTTGGCATGTTTATCTTGTGCTGGCTACCTTTCTTCATTGTTCTGCCTCTAGGTAAGTTGGTAATCCAGGGTTTGCATGGGGAGGGGGAGGAAGAGGGTTAGTTGTTTACTATAAAAATATATCATAGAAAAAATCAGATGAATGATCAGTAGATACCATTTTGTGAACTGCAGTGAACCGATGAAAGGAAGGGAAGTGAAAGTAATTTACTTCTGATGCTGGCTTTTTCAGAGTCGTGCTGAAACTCCGTAAAGTGTGCAGCCTGCATAAAGTCTGCTCATCTGGTAGTCCTCAGCAATAGGGCAGCTGTAAATCAGGGGACAATATCTTCAGAGTTTATGTATTAAATACCCCTTTATGATCATTCTTTGAATTGAATTAGGTTTCAGAAACATTTTTATAGGATGTTTTAACAAAAATCCTAGAACACTAATAGAGTTTCAGCACTGAAATGTTCTTGTTTTTGTTTACTGTTAGATGTTCAGACTATGATACAGTGGGGCTTCTTGGCATTATTAGGTGCCTTAAATGGAAATAAACCTGATATAATGATGAGATGCAAAACTCCTCTGAGCTTTGGGAAGCTGAAAAAGTTCTAGTTCTCAGTTCAAACACCACTGATGATATCCCAAAAGCAAACACATGAAGCCCAGCGATCCCCACAGAAAGGTTCTTATGGCTTTCAATAGGTCTTAGTTCAGGCATTTGGGGAGACTGTGATGTGAGCTTTTGGCAGCCACTTTGTTCACTTTCAACTTTAAAATATTATTAAAGCATTTGATGTAGCCTTAACACATTGCCCTGTTCCCAAGTCCTTGTGAAATCTGCTTGTATCATCTTTAATACTAGCACTACCTCTGAAGTGGAACATCTCAAGACATTGACTTGCTAAGCTCTCAAAAATATCTGTCCAAAATTCATTTCTCTGAGACAGACAAACTGGCAGCCTAAATATGGAAAGAGGTGGAAAAAGAAAAGGGAGAAAAAGACTTTATTAATGTTCTGTATTCGTGTTTACTTAGTTACCCTACCAAAACATTTCTCATTGAGTGGTAAGGGAATATTTTTAGACACTGTTGTAGAAAACTAAACTGAATTCAGGAACTTGGTGCTGGTGAAGTGTTACAAAATTGTAATTCCAGCGAATGTGTAATGTAATTTAGACTAGAATCTTTACTGCAAGACAACTACTTAAGCTATTGCAGGGCAACATTATAATCTCTAGTTTATCGTATCATAAACTTAGAAGTACTTACAATTCGAAATCTGCATAACACTAATATTAAAGATGTGAAAGATTCCAGATAGAAGGAAAACTAGGAGCAAAGTTCTCTGCCTAATGAAGTCTAAGTCCTTGTGCTGGCTCTTCAAGAAAGTTTACAACATAGAACTAGTTTCCAACTATTGCAAAAACACATACCTGTGGATAGAAATATATTTTCACCATATGGTACCAGTAGTAGTACTAGATTTGTAGCTAGTAGGTCATGATCCCCTGATAAAGTAGATTCCTTCCTTGATTTTGAGTTATTGAAGGAACTTCAAAGAAAAAAGCAAATGTGAATGCAGTAGAGCATATCCTTAGCTAGCTGAAGCCAGTATAGCTACTGACGCTGTTCAATGAACACAGATGGAGACCAGTCCACTAAAAACATGGTCACAGGGCAGAAGCAATGTGAGAAACAATTAAGTCTCTTGTAAGACTGTCAGTTTTCCCTTTGAGAAGTTATTTCAAAACTCCTGGTCTTTCCTGGGAGGTTTAATGAGTCATTGCTTAAGACACCTGAGTGCAGAATTTACTGCTTGTCACAACACGATTTTCATATAGATTGTGCCCAAGGCATCAGTGAGGTGACAGACTCAGAGCCTCTACCACTGCACACTGTGTGCTAGCAGAGGCGTGGGGTGCACTGCTCACTAAAACAGGTGAGGAAAAGACCTTTTCCTGACATGCATACTGCAGCCATTCTTAACTGGAGGAGAGAAGGTAGAGCAGTGGAGAAAGATTTCTTGAAGAGCTTGCTATGATGTGCTGAATTCTTCATACCAGAAATCTTCTGATTTGCATCTTGCAGTCACAAAATTAAATGAAATGCTATTAAGAACCTTTACAAAAAGCACATAATGGTATGAAATCAATTTCAGTGATAGGCAAACTGTAGAATCGAAAAGGTACTGATAATTCACAAAACTCTCCATACGTGCCCTGAGCACTTCAGCCACAACCCACTGCCTCATCAGTGCAGGACCACAAACTACAATATCTTTTCTGCCACTGAGTCCAGACTAGACACGTACCTTCACTGTACTGGAAGGACAGGCTTCTTCCTTAGCCTGTATTTTTCACGCCTTGTATTTGCATCATTAACCCAAATCATACCCTCACATCTGCATTTTTACTATTTTTTTCCTGCCCGTCTCACTCAGTAATGCCATGACTCTGCAGAATAGCATTGGCAGAGCAGCTCCTGGATTTCTGAGTATCTAACCACAAAATGTTCAACAGGTCAGTAAACATTACTTCTGCAGCACCCCAAACCCATGTCTGAACAAATCTGCTTACATGTAGAGGAGTTTCCTTCATGTTAAAAGTGATCTCAGCTCTTCTACTAGTTTTCCAGACAGTAGCATTTCAATATATTCTGCAGCTACCTGTTTTGATGCCCCAAACAAAGAATTAATTGCATCAGGTGACAGATATATACTGGGAACTGATGTGGTGCTGAAAGCAGGGACATTGCTTGAATAAATATTCCATGACAAAGGAAAAGAAATTATATTAACGCTTACAGAGTGTTTTTCAAGCAAGAATCAAAAGGCTTTGCGAGGGAAGGTGTCTGACAGAGCTCTCTATACAGCTACAGAGAGGAATTAACAGCACTGACACTATGATGTACTGAGCATCATGAAATGATCAGCACGAAGAATGACCCACCCTCCCTTTCTGTAGGACTGAACCATGCTGCCTTTAGTGTTAAGCACCTGATGATGCAGCAAAACTGGTATCAAAAAAGAATCATGTGAGAAATTTGGTTTTATTCTGGTAGCTACAAGATACTCTTTCCAGGTAGCAATAGAGCTATAGAATATCTTTGTTGTGGACATTCATATATGCTACGTGGCTTTGTAACTGTTGTCTTGCCACTCAAAATTATTTGTGGTACAGCATAAAAAATAAAATGAAGACATATGTGTCTTTGAGACAACTTCTTGTGCCATAAATTCAGTGACTCAGCTTTGAAGAGTAAATATCTTGCTTCTTTAAAATAAATGTTTATTTTCTTCCCCCTCATACAAATCCTTTCTTAGGCATCAGGACTGTGTTAAATATGCGCTGCTGAAAAATGCTGAGTAAAATAGATGATTTTTATCTAAACTGCAGAAATAAGGTAACACTCAGTAAAACTCCCTCCTTTAAACACAGGAATATCCAATTTTATGTCAATATCTTCATTACAAAAAATTAATCCTAAAATGAAGGACCATGTTTCCCTTGGCTACAAGGTAAAAGTTGAGTCCATTCCTGTTACGTGAAATATCATGCTGGCCTTGCCAGTCTTCGCCCAGACTCAGCCCTCACACAACACACACACAGACACACTCAGCGCAAAGGGAAAACTCGCCACCTCCACTGTACCCAGAGCACATTAGCTTCCCCAGCCCATTACTTAACTCCAGTGGAAATCAGCAGAGCATTATTCCCAGTTTAGAGCCTAACTCCCCCTGCTCCCACAAAAGCTGTGATCTTATCCACTAAAGTCAGAAACAAAATTCTTGTAACTTAACTGGCAGTGGGATAAGGTCCCAAGAGACTCATAATGAAGATACAACTGTTTTGACTATCCTTATATATTAAGCTGTTGAAACCTCTCTATAAAATAATAAAAAAAGAATATAAAAATATTCTGCATGCTACAGGTCAGCCAATACAAAATTATTCTTAAAATAAAATGTTATTCAAGTACAGTATGTAGATTTATGTTACATCAGGCCAACCTCTGCGTCTCTCCACCAAGAATACCAAATTAGGCCACTTAGTTTCCCATGGGAAACACTTCAAGGCATCAGGTCCAGTGCTGTCAATGCTACTGGGTTCTACTTTCTGCAGGGCTTTAGGCTTGGTCTGTCTTTCATCTCATTTTGGGCTTGCACCCTCTTCCCCTAACTACCCTAGCTTTCTAGATTTAATGCCCTCAAGTTAATAGTTATACAAAATTTGGACAAATTAATGATACATGTGGCAATCTGACCCTCTGTCCACTTGCAGGTCAATCTTTGGTACAATGTTCAATTGCACAGGTGATAGCAGAAACCTGCTCCTCCTATTTTCTAGCCAATTCCTGTAAAACTAAACATCATAAGGGCATTTCTTGACCAGTACACCATGTTTTGTCACACGCAGATGACTAGATTATTTCAAGATGATTCATTCTGCCACTAAAATAGCCTCCCTTAAACCCTAGTTTAAGCCCTTTGGTTTGAAAAGGATGCCAATTACCAGTTACTTGGAGACTTCTATTATTTAGAACAAAGCAGATGAAGCTGCACAAATTCTGAAGGACTGGGGACTTTCCTTATGGGCTTTTGATTTGCAGGTCAGAGGACCAAAGGGAAGTCTTAAAGTGTAGAGTCTTACGAAAGCAAATATCCAAAGCAATACAGAAAAACCTGAATACAAAGAAGTTGAGTCATGGTGACTATCCAGCCTCGGGGATGGCAGCAACTCCTGCCTCAGGTGATCAGAAAGCTCCAAGGAAAAAAATCGTGACTGAGCCACTGAGCAGCAATAGGAAACCTCAAAATTACTGAAATCAAAGACAGCAGAGAAGTGGCAGTTTCTGAGGAAACCCTGCCTTCAGCATCCAAAAAGGCAGCGGATACAAGGTGCTTATGCCAAAGGCACTTGCAGACACGTGATACTGCTCAGGTCGGTAGTCATGACAAAAGCACTGAGTAAAGTTACACCTCTGCATATGGTCCTAAAGCACTGAAGCCATAGCTCAGGATCTCACCTGCATGGTTTCTAGTGTACCTATCTGTGAAATACAAAC